CCTCCGCCGCCGCCGCCACCTCCTCCTCTTCCCAGGTGGTGGGGATGGTGAGAAGAATATGACTTGCCTCCTCCTCCTCCTCCTCCTCCTTCCCTGTCTCTGAACTCTGTGAAGTCGCTGCTCTCAGAGGCGGTCTCCCACTCCTCGTTGGCCTGGTCGGAGTTCTGGTTGGTGAAGTCCGGGGACTTCGCTCCGTGGCTGTGGTGGTGCTGGGGGTGGGTCGGCCCAGCGTTGCCCTGGTTGTAGTGGTGATGGTGGTGGCTGTTTGCATTGCTAAGATGCCCGCCACCACTGTTATTGTTGGTTGTTACTGCGGTGTTGTGGTTAGCATTCTGGGCATTGCCTGTCATGGGAGCAGAGATGGGGGCTCCGTTACTGTCCTGAACTGAATTCAGGGAGGGAGAGGAGGGCCGTCCTCCCCCGATGACCCCCACTCCTCCGTTGATCCGTGCGGCATTCTCTCGCTCCTTCAGCCTCCGGAAGCGTGGAGGCTTGTCCTGCTGATGCTGGGAACGCCCGTGGCGGCGACGTCTAGGTGGTCGCTCAAACCCACTGGGAGGGAACCCACGGCTAGTGGAAGGAGGGAGCGCATTTGGCCCTCCAGAGTTTGACGGTGGGTTGGTTGAAGCTTGCTGGGTCACAACTCCTCCATTTTCAGTGGAACCTAGAGGGGCAGGAGTTGCAGCAGGCAAAGATGGCTGAGGGGGATTGGACCCCTGAGTTTGAGCTTGACTTGCATCAGCTATCTTGTCTTTCTTCTCTCCTCCATTTCCTCCCCTGCCCAAGTCTTTGGGCCCAGAGGTTTGTGGTGGGCCTTGCTGCTTTCGGCCCGAGGCTGATGACTTGGAGGACCCGCTGTGAGAGGCGGAGTTGGGTCCAACCCGGTGTCCTCCAGGTGCTCCTCCAACATTACCACTGCCCCTGTACATGTTTCCTCCTCCACTACCTCCACCCCTGCCCCTCCTAGAGGGCACACCCCTAGGGGTAAAGACCCGGGCCTGGGAACCTCTGGGTGGTGCAGATGACATGGTGCCGCTGCCAGTGGTGTTGGCATGATCAGAGCCATTCTTGGTGTTGGGTTTCTGGTTGTCATCCTTGTCTGAGTGAGCGAGGTCACTTGCACCACTCTCACTGCCAGTCTCTGAACCTCTCTCCCTCCTTCTCTTGGGGATTTCCTCATACTCTGAACCCTCACTGCGGGTTTCACTTCGGTTCCTGGCCCTGGCTGGGTTATGCTGGGACCGGTCCTGAGCGTGTCTGCCACCTCCCCCCTCACCCTTGGACTCGTGGTGGTGTCCACCGGCAACAGATGAGCGGTAGTCCCTGCCGCTCCTGCCGCCCATTCTGCCCCGATTTCCACCACTGGGCCCAGCAGCGGCCGTATAGGTGCCACGGTAACCACGGCCACGGCCGAAGAACTCGCCCCCTCGTCCGCGGCTGGCTCTGCTGCCTTTGGCGGGGACTCCATGATGGTGGGAGGCGTTGCCTCCTCTCTCAAAGGAGCGGTCCCTGTCCCTCCTGGAGGACCCTGAAAATCCTGAAGAAGCGGTGTCTACATCTTTGGGCCCTCTACCAGACCCTCCCCCACCTCCTCCTGAGGAACGTTCTTTTCCTCCATTCCTGGGTTTGGCTGATTGGGCTGACTCTTCTTTAGATGGAGCTGATGTATTCTGGGAGATGGAGGAGGCATCCTGCTTCATGGAAGTGGGTTGACCGCCATCTTGCTCTTTGTCCTTCCCAAAGCCTGCACTTGTTTTTTCTCCTCCATCAACATCCCCTCCGTCTCTCTTCATCTCCTTCAGCACTGGCTTCTTTATGGGGCCAGCCCTCTTGTTGACATTGCTGCCTCCTGTCTGGTTGGAGGGTTTGTGGTCCAATGGAGTGTTGGAGGAGTCCTCCCCTCCACGGGAGTTGTTCCCACCTCCTGCATTGTTGGCCCTTCTACCATGAGAGGACCCTCCACCTGTGTTGCTGCTGCCAGGCCGTGGGCCCCACTGGGTCTCTGTCTTGTGCTCCCGTCCCCCTCTTTGGTTTGATTTAGGATGGGGATGCTGATGCTGATGCTGATGCTGCTGCTGCTGCTGCTGCTGAGGCTGAGTATGACTGCCATGTTGAGAGGGAGGTGGGCTAGAGGTCATGGTGGAATGAGGAGCATATGCCGGGCCGGTTTTCTCCTGTTTCACATGACTGCTACTGCCGGCACTGCCACTGTTGCCTCTTTCACCAAGACTGTGCCCGATACCAGCTTCACTTTCTCTCTGGGCTGGGTGATGATGCAGGGCAACTTTGACATTCCCATCTTCTCTAGCAGAAGAGGAGGAGGAGGAAGAGCAAGAAGATGAGATGGAAGGTTGGTGGATTGGGGGAGAAGAGTCTGTCTTCTTAGCAGGGGCCTCAATGACCCTGTCACGGCTGTTCTCTGCCTTATGGGGGTGGAGAGGGAAGTGAGTCTGCTGAGGGTGGTGGCTGTGATGGTGGTGGAGATGGGAGTTGTTCTCGACAGCGGGGTGATCGGTTCGACCATTGCGATCATAGTGAGGGTGTGGGGCTCCCCAAATCTGGCCCTGCTGAGATCCTCTGGGAGGCCCTTCATCCTGGTGGGTGAAACCATGCGGCTGGTTTCCCCTCTCACCCGCCCTCTGCTGCTGCTGCTGCTGCTGCTGCTGGTGGGGGAGCATCCTCCCACCCTGGTCAGGGAAGTTGCTATAGTTGCCCCGCCCACTCATGTAGTGATGAGGGTGGTGGCTGCCTCCCTGGGCTGCAACTTGACTGCCAACTGGAGGTGGAGTCTGATTGGATGTCCCAGAGCTGGGGTTGGGTTGCTGGATGGGTCCCAATCCACCTTCTCGCATGCGGTGTGGAGGAGTGTCGCTCCTGGAAGAAAAACACAAAATACTAAAACTATTAAATTTAAAGGGTCATTTCACCTGTATTACAAAACAAACTTTTTCCCCATGCAATTTGAGTATTAGGAGCATATGCAGTATATAGAGGTTGAACACATATATATATGAAAGCAATCCAATTAAACAGCCCAAAAAACAAATACTACCTTTAAAAATGTAAAACATTGTTCTCAGTACATGTAATAGAAATTGCAGTAAAGACTTAAAGTCAGGAAAACATAAACAAGAGAACGTAAAACACTGAGTTGAGGTTCCAGTTATTTTATTCACCTTAACTATGATACCAACTTAAATCTGACTGATTTGTGTATCCATACCTGGGTCCTTTGGCCCCGTCATCATCCTCCAACGCCTGCTTCTGCCTGTGGGGGGATGCTAGCCCACGGCCCTCCCCTCCGCCAGGAAATACCTCTGGCCCCCAGGCAAGCTTAGGATCCATAGGGGGGGTCCCACGGTGAGGGTGCCCTGGATGCTGTTGCTGCCTGTCAAAGGGGTCTGAACCAGAACCTCCTGAATCAGACCGCTCACGCCCAATAAGTCCTGTGGCAGTGAAGAATCAAAAAAATAAAATAAACATCTCAACACTGCTCTGGCATACATCAACATCTGAACTATATTCTGAAACATGGCAGTACTGGATTATTTGATGAATGATGACAGTGAATGATCTCACCTGACGGGTGCATGCCAGCAGCTGAATAGTAATCCATGGGTGGAGGGCGGCCCTGCATCATACGAGGGTCCATGTAGGGCATCATCATCCAGCGTGGGTCAAAATTCATTGGCAGGGGCGGGGGTCGAACCATATTGCTGGGTTGATACAGTGGCCCACCCTGCTTAGGTCCAGGCCCCGGTTGGGGTGTTGAACCTGGCGAGGGACCCTGTGGAGGCTGGGGGGATAGCTGGCTTTGCGAGGCCTGGCTGTGCTGCTGCTGTTGCTGCTGCTGCCACTGCTGCTGCTGCTTTAGGAGCTGCTCCTAAAGAAGAATAAATGTCAAACAGAAAACATAGCACAGGATGTTTAAGAACAGAAATATTACACATATCTGTATAGGCCAGCATAGGTTGCCAAAAACATATTTCTCTTTGGAAATCTGGCACTTATTTTTGTCTTTGTAGAATGCAACAACCATTCAAGCAATACATGTACTTTAGACAACAGACAAGTACAAATACTAACCTGCTGCTGCCTCTGAAATCGAGGTGGAAGAGACTTCTGGTATTTTGAGTAACCCTGGCCAGGAGGACCACTGGCTTGACGACCTGCTCCCCCTCCGATATTCTCAATCTTTACTGGGTCGACTCCTCTTTCACCTCCACTTCCTGCACGAATGTGAGCACTGCCCATGGTCTCTTCCTTATTTTCTCCTGGTAAAGGTACGTCCAGTGTGGGCGGCTGTGGCTGCGGTACAGCCGGCTGGGGACACTGTTGGGCTTCTGAAACAAGAAAGTAGGTTGCAGGGTTGAATCAGGGGCCATAATCAAGAGGTGGAAGCTTCATTTGAACTGCCCAATCAAACACATAAGTGTGGAAAAAAACCCAATCACACATTAGTGCTCTAAATGTTACATAACAGTCCTTAGTGATCATGTGTACTTGATATATGCGAAACTCACCTGCACCCGAGTCATAGCTGCTGTTGCTGCTAGCTCGCTGTCGGTCACTGACTCCAGGACTGGTCCCTGGAGGGACAACCAGAACTGGAGGCTCCTCAGGGTCAATACACGGTGATGGGGGCTGGCTGATGTTGGGAGACGAGGCTGAAATAGATGGACTAGGGCTGCCTGCTGTGGCAACTGTAGAGTTTCCATCAAGGCTGGGAGTTTTACTGCCGCTACCACCACCTCCTGTGTTGCTGCCCTGCTGCTGTTGCTGCTTCTCGTCCAGCCTCTTTAGCTTTTCTGCGCAGGCTGCACGTCTCTCCTCCTCCATCCTACGTTCTTCCTCCTCACGACGGCGACGGGCTCGCTCCACAGCAGCAGAGATCTCGGTGGAGGACTGCTTCCTGCGCTGACGCCAAGTCTCATCCTCATCTTCACCCTGGGCCCCATGGACCAGCAGGCCTGGCTGGGGAGGAGGAGTAGGCCCTCCTGCTGCTGGCGGGTGCTGGGTGGGGACAGGTTTCCCTGGGCCTACAGAGGCACCCTGGTTGAGAGGCCGGTCCTGAACAATTAGAAAATATATGATGCTCTATTGTGCAGTTTTCAGCTCTCTGGATGACATCACTGCAATCTTGTTGAGAAAAATGTTTCACGAATGATTACATCGACTGTAATAAGACTCAAGAGACAAAAAGCGAACTAAAAAACTAAAGATGACTTATCCATAAGACCTGTGGGCGGTGGATGAGATAATGATAGAAATGATTTGTCTATGGAAGCCCTGTCCAGATGTCTACCTGGCGGTAAAAGGAGTATGGCCCTTGTCCAAGGAGCGGCCCAGGTGGGGGGGAGGGCTGCTCCCGGGGACCACCCAATCCAGGCCTGCGCCCCTGTATACAGGCAGACACAGTTAGCCATGCTCTACCACAATTATCTACACTGACAACAACACACACGCACTCTGCCCACAAATAAGTCTTGTGTTGTAAATTTGGACTTTCTTTCCACAGCTGGAGTATGGCCTGTTGTAGCAACACCTTGCTGCTGCTGTTCAGCACTCTACCTGGTAGTTGGGTGGTGTTCCCTGGCCGTTCCAGCCACTGCCTCCCTCCTCGGCCCATCCTGGCTTGCTGGAGGGGGGTTGGGGGCCATTGTCAGCATTAGAGGGAGGGGTGTGGCGGGTGTCTCCGCCGCTGTCCGAGGCTCGAGAGCGAGAGGTTGCAGGGGGGGCATCCTGGGACCTCTGCTGCTCACTGAGGACAGGAGAAAAACATGCACGTTGTTTTAAACAAACTGCAGTATAGCGCGTATAGTATAGTTATATTTTAAACGTAAACATAATTTGAAGTTATCACACATTGAATGTACTTAGTCACATACCGTGAGTCATTGTTGCTCTCGGTTCTCTCCTCTTCCCCCTCTTCCTCTCCTTCATCATCACTAAACTTCAACTTGGCAGAGTAATCAATCTCCTCATGAGCCCCTGTTAAAACAAAAACCAAAAGAAAACATCAGCACCGTGTTTGTACCAGACCACTCACTCAGTGCATTTGCACGTTATTCATCATCATCCTTCACTTTGATAAACCACTTTCCTCCTCTGAGCTGATTGTAGTGACTGGAACACCTTTGCTTGGATCAGCAGGAAATATGATATGCAGAAACATCTTCAATGTTAGACAGCATCAATCTCACCCACTACCACGCCGGTGCCTCCTTAAATCATTTAGCAGCATGACATGCAATACTTTGGGATACTGTAATGTCAAAGCTTAACGGCTGGACCTTCCCACGTACAACAACAAAAATGAAAGCCTCTGCAGTGCTAGTTCACCATAGCTGTACTCTGAATTAGTTAAAAATGTATCACAAGTAGGAATACATCCATCTAAAATGGCACATCAAATGAAAAACAAACATCCCATTTCTATATTTTTCTTTGTGATGCTAGATTTGTTGTCCAGAGCTTTTTTTTATGACAAATTTGTAACTTTTAAAGACCACTGTTTTTTATACATTTTGATCCAAAACCAGAACAGGTTCTCCATAAGCAACCCCTATTTACATGTTAGTAATATATCAGTCATTTTTTTTACCTGCCCAGCCCTCATCTCCGTCGTGGTCCAGCTCGTCTAGCTCCTTCAGGTCATCCTGCTTTAGGATAGAGGGTCGCTTCACCACCTCTCCACCTGCATCTCGTGGGCCACCCTGAGGCCTGTGGTCAGGACCACCCTGCCCACGAGAGAACCTGAAAGAGGGGAGCAAGTGTGTTGTAAGAGATATGTTGAAGATATAAAAATGCAAGTTCTCTGCCTACTGTAAAAAGGACCAGGTGAATGAAGTACAATACTAGCTTTACAAGTGATTTTGACACGGAACATACCTTGGAGCGGGCCCTTCCCCAGGTGCCGGGTACCTGTAGGGCCCCTGAGGGCCATAGGGAGCCGGGAAGGGCAGGTAGGGAGGATACATCTAAAAACAAAAAAAGATATAGAACAGATACAAATTCTTTGTAATTAGGAGAGCTGTCTTAAGAGTAGCTGTGGTTGTCTTTCATTTATACAAAAAGCACATTCAAATAAAAAATGTTATGAAAACAAAGTGCAGCACTGGGCAATTCTGCACACAAATGTTACAACATTTAAATTAGTGATAGACAGATTAACTGGGACTATTATCAGGCATTTTGAGATAATTGGCTGTGGATAATGTCTGCGCTCACAAGCCCCATTTGACGAAATAGGTCTTTAGGCATTAGCAAGTGAAAAGACCGATATTGGTCGACCACTAACTTAAATAGGCCCTGAAAATGCACATATAATGAATATATTATAGCAGAAAATAAACAGTAAAATATTTGCCTCAGATCAAACGAAAAGAAAAGAAAGTAAAACTTACGAAGGGAGGCATGATCCCTCGGTATTGGGGGAACCCAGGCCCCACAGGGGGCTGGGGCAGGGGCAAGGCGGGGCTGCCTGCGGGAGGGTTCCTAGGTGGCCCGTGGGACTGAGAGTTTGGAGGGGGGACCCCAGCTGCCCCATCCATCACCAGAGCCCCGCCAGCGCCACCCTCCACTGCCCCCTCCCCAGACAGGGTGGGCGCCAGGGCTCGGCCCCCACCGTCCCGCCAACTTGTAACGTCTGAGGACACAAGAGAGGAAACAGTGGTCAGTATGGTTTATGAGCTTTAATGGAATAAGAACAGAGATACAAAGCCAGTACTTTAGAAAAACACATCCTTTCAACAAAAGATCCATGTCTGCAGTATTTCAAAATGTATTGATATTAAAGCTTTTTCATATAATTTTAAAGTGAAATGAGAAACTATTTTTCATTTTGCTTAATTAAATGTGGTCCTGGCAAGCAGATAGCAACACCAACCAAAGCATAAAGAAAACAATAATACACACACATTACGTACGTTCTCATTCATCATTATGCCCTTTGTTATCAACTGAACCACTAGCCAAGATCTGAAGTCTGTAACATAATAAATACTGTACTACAAAAAGCACTCATCAATCTCTTGAGAGAAGTCTTCTCACCTTCAACTACCTTAATTAAATGACTTATTAATTAATTATTGAAGGTTAAGTGAACACCACTCACTCTGGGGGCGGAGGCTTGGTCCGGGCCCATACCACTGATCTGCAGTGCCCTGTTCTTTGCCAGCTTTGTCCTGGTCGCCAGCCGCCTGCAGGGTGGGAAATTCCTCGCGAGAGAATGGCGACGGTTGGTTTGATCCCTTTCCACCTGCACAAAGGGAAGACGAGAGAAGAATGTTTTTTTTTTTATTTTTAGGAAAGGGGCTCAACTAAAGGTTTATTCCAGAGAAATGTATGAGATACAAACAGGAAGACTCACCATCCCCTTGTGTTCCATGTGTAACACTGGCCTGTGCCCAGGACCTTGCCCCTACGGCCTGGGTTGAAGCTGGGGCCTGAGCCTGGAAAATAGAGCCATATTATACGTCAGCTATGGCTGCTATAAATCTCCATGCACATTAACTAAGAGCATGACTTTGCATTCATGGGACTGTGTGACTGTCGGTACCTCTGAAGCTGGCGGGGTTCTCGGGCGGGTCGGGGCAGGTGTCGGTGAAGCCACAGGCTGCTGCGATTCCGGCTGCGGTGCTGACAATGCATCGGTACTAAGAGAAATTTAAAAGAAAAGTCATTAACAAGGAAGATACTACACAAGAACATCAATTGAAAAAAAGTTATTTTTCTGTGTAATGTAACTTTAACAAGTAAAAGTCTAAAACTGGTGCGATAAATGAGTGGCAAAAGAAGGGGTTACTTACCTCTTTGGGTCTGCTTGTTCCTGTTTGCTTGCCCATCCTGTGCCGTCTTTGGGAACGAGCGAGACGTTGGGATCGTTGCCTTTGTTCTCCGCCTTCAGACTGGGCAGGTTGGCAGGGGGTGGCATACGCCGTGCGGAGGCAACTTTACCAAGAGACTGCAGGCCATGGCGGGGGGGAACTGATATGGGGAAGAGAAAGAGGTCATTAGCACAGATGGACCACTGAAACCTGACACCAATTAAATCTACAGGGTGCGAGCAAAAGACTGACGACAGGGACGGCGTTCGCTGCTTACTTTGCTGAATACACAATTAGGATGCTGAAGCTAGAGGTTTGGCAGTTTCAGTCAGAAGATTCTGATGAATATGGATTAGGAAAAAAAAAAAAGCTTCTAGATGTTATTAAAAACCTTCAGCAAACCCACTTCAATTACAGTTTATGGAGAAGTACTAGGATATTGATGCTCACAGAAGCATGCAAAAGCCTTCCGATTCTGAAAAGTGAAGCTATGCTGAATATCAATCCCATCATTTATTTCCTTGAGGCTCTGAGGAACCACAGCGGTGCACGGTGTCGCTATGTAGTAGGGGGATGTCTGTAGTTTGGAAACAGGGGCAGCTGCTTAAATCTAGTGGGGAGCTTCTGAATAAAACATAGACTGGGGACTCGGCACAGAAGTCAAACAGCGTCCACAAGTAAGCCTCTGTCTCAGGTCAGGCTCGGTGGCTCCGAGGCTCAGCTGACACGTCAAGGCTCGGGAACCAGTCACCCTCCAGGCAAAGGATCATTTCTTTCTATGCGGCTACAGTCGTGACACATCCTAATGGACATTTGTTTCCCCACTCAGAGACACATGTAAAGGCCTATAAAAGGGTAGTAAATATCCCTGAATAATATTAACAGGTTGGCAGGCAGTTGAGAGATGCATCCCATCATCCACTTCCTGCATTGGAAACCAGGACGAGAGCTATTAGGGAGAGAAGCAGGCTAATGCATCAAAGTTGCGGTACTTGGAGTCGAGAGACAAAACAGCACAGCCGGGCACTTTTAATCACAACACCAACGGGTGAATCCAACTGCGATGTAGCAGATCTGTTTCTTTAGGCGAGATCTGATCAACTACAAAACAAATCTCACATCCTTAGGCCGTGTAACAAAACCATCGGGCAGAATTAGGAAATGAACAGCGCGGGTAGAAAGACGAGAAAGGTCAGTCTACGACGCTGGATGTATGTTGGGACAAAGAGAGAACCACGATACTCACCAACAGGCTTTTGTGTTTCAAGGCTCTTTCCTTTGTATGTATCAAACAGGTTGAGAGACGCATACTTGGTTTTGCCTTCCTTCCCCTTTGCAGTTTGCCCAGAGCGCTCTGACATTGCGCTGTCCGCTCATTGAGTATGGTGAGCCCTGAGACTGGTGGAGAGAGGGAGAGAGGGAGAGATTTAACACCAGATAGGCATAGAAAGTGAGAGTAAAAAAAGTGCTGATTGCACAAGCGTACCTTGAAAACAACTAGAAACTGTCTCACACATCAAAATAAGCGAAACATAGCGCTGTGACAGCACTGGATGCTGGATGATTAAGCACTTAGAGTAACTTAAGAGTAGAACAGTGTAGAAAATATGTTACCCATAGAAACAACAGCTCTGTGAAATACGATATACTGCAACACAATCATTCAGGATACGTCAATGTGTTTAGACGTTTCTGCTAATGCTCAGGTGTGGCCGCCTTTCTTTTCGCAGACACACCAACTCTTTTCTTTTCTGACAAACAGTTCAACAAATAATCCATCCACAACCCGACGAGAGACATACGGGGGGGGAAATTAGTACCAGCCACCAGCTAAACGCCTGTGAAATATAAAAGTGGCTGGTAGATTTCAGACACAAAGTAATGATTTGGTGCACGTGAACATTTTAAAATGGACAATACACGACACTGTTCTTTGTTTTTTACATTTCTCTTACATAGGCAGTTTGCTGTTTCTATACAGTGTGCACATTTACAAGTTAAATGGAAGAATAAAAGCTACAAATGAATGGCAGGATGTTTAAAACATTACCAATAAACTTATTTTAGGATATTTTAAAAGTGTAGTATTCAATGTTTGCCAGTTAAGGAAACAACAACTTAGCTTCAAAAGGATGTTCAACAACTTAAACGATGAGCAGATTCTACACCAAAATAAAGTAACAGGGCTGAGAGAGGCAAACGGTCTATTAGACAATATTACAATGAGGCATCTCACATTTCTGACCAACCAAAACTGAAGTATCTCCAGGTGTAAATAACGTTTCATCGTGTATTTGACAGATAATATTAGATACGCATGTTTTTAAATCAACCAATCCGTCAAAAAATATATATAAATGAAATATTTGGCACAGCATCACATGGTTATGTCAAAATATCAGCAAAGGTTATATTTAATGCAACGTGTTGCGAGTCAGATGTGTTGTGCCTTTATTTAAAGGTTGCCTACAGCAGGCTTTTCCACAGGGCTCTGTCACATGGACGGGCACATTTATTTATTTGCACCACAGAGACGAAGGTGCACGATCCACAATAACAACGAAGCAACTCAAACTATATATCAAAACACAAGGGTTCTGCTAGGCACAGTCAAATTGGAGATACTTTTTCCTCTCGTTTGACTGTTCGCACTGGAATCCGATACGCAAACGCCAAAAAATGACGTGAGGTCACACTGCAAAGGTATCATAATTGTATCGGACTTGGACCACATAGGAAAGTGGCCCAAAGCACAATCGAAAAGACGATTTTCCATGTGGTTCATAAAACAATGACAGATCTGAGTCACAGATGAGTAAAAAACAAACCCAGTGTGAACGAAGCCTTAGTGTGGTGTGTGCGAGAGGTTATTGTGGCAGTTGCACCAACATCTGTGCAGCTTTCCACTTGATAAATCCCGTTTCTGCCCCAGCTTTTGGGAGGTGGGGCAGGTTGTTCAGCACCGGGATAACTTAGGTCTCCTTTTTAAAAGGCAGATTCACCATTACTCCAGTGAACAGACTTAAAACAGTACACGACTAAACACCTCATCACAGGAAACACTGTCCAAAAGAGATGGTTTCTATGGCAACGCGTTACAAATGATATTCTTCTATGCCTTGCCTTGAGACAGTGGTTGGCTCCATGGCAACCGACGGGCCTTTAGCTTGAACTCGTTTTACTGCACATCAATAAAACACACTGACATCTGTCCGAGTGAGAATGATTTGACTGTATCCAGCAGGTTAAACTGTTCCCACCTCTCCACCCCAACTCCTGTTAGGAACAATTACAGAGAGCAGGTGAGTCTCCTGAGATTATTAAGCTACAAATAACATTACTCACTCCGTTCACTTGCTTTGGATTAAGTGGTGAAATGACGTGAGCCAATCCAAATGGTCCATGACCAGAAAAACTATTTTGGAGCTAAACAAAGACTTCAAGCAACAGCCAGGCTAACAAAGAGCCTATGTTGTTCTGTGTAACAGTGGCTGGTGTATATTTCAATAACTGAATGGTTCAATAATTATTGGACTCCCGAACAGGTCCATCAGCCTTCAGTATCGACATGAAAACTTCACGTCATGATCATCTAGGCCAATTGTGATGCACATTATCATGATAATGAAAATATACCTATTATATACTAAAACCACTTTTGGTTTAGAAACACATATGTATTACATTACACTACTTTATTTTGGACTCTATACCATTTAAACACATTCGGTTTAACTTTTTTAGGGACAGGATTCCCGCTCTTTTTAAGAAATCCAGGGATCAGGACATTTTTCTTGTTATTTTTGACAATACAGGAGAGGATTTGCTCACAAGCAGTCCTATAATTTACCAGTATAAGCCTAATATTTACACATTTAAATCCAGATTATGCTACCAACAGTCAAGTTTAAAACTAAACACACACTCAGGTTTATGTAGGCAAAAATACTATCAAATATAATACAATACAACATAAAATATTCCCAGAATTTGGGGTCATTTTCATCCATTTTCACTACCGGAAAACTCGCCTGGAAGTTTTCTCACATTTCCAAGATGTGTGGGAATCCTGTGATTATTCGCCATAATAAATCTGTGTTTTTTAATCACGATAATATTGTATATCGTCCCACCCCCAAATCCCAAGACATGACAGCTCCATCAGTCTTCATAACCAGCAATATACTGAACAGAGGTGTAACTATATTATATATATATATATAAAACAGGGATAAATGTGAAGCCACAATCAAAACAACACTACAAAAAGGTACTCAAATATAAAAAAAAAAAACCCTACTGCGCACTGACAATCCTAATAATGACAAAACGCACGATGTCTGCAACACACACACACACACACACACACCGAGAGAGAAAAACAAATAAACGAAACAACAAGCGCTTTCACAGAATGACTACAGAGCGGCATTGCACCGAGCCTCAACCAGCCAGATGAGATTAGAAAATTAGGTCGTGGGATGGCTGGTCAACTACATGTTGTACGGGGGATTAACGGGGGCCAGCAGCTTCACTACCGAGCCACAACTGCAGCAGCCTACACCACAAAGGGGCCTTGCAGAAAGCTAAAAGCTAACGACAAGCACAAAACCACGCATTGTTGCTTTTTGGGCGCAAAAAATCAGCCGGGTAGTATGAAAGGCAGCCGTGATTACACACGTTAAAATGTGTAAACCACAAATTAGCGATGCTTCCGATGCTTGGGATGAGTGTTGTGGTGTTAAGTGTCGTTAAGTGTCCAACACGGGGCCTCGGTGATCGCGTTGGGAGGAGGAGGGGGACTGCGTTGATGTTTCATAATGTATTTTCAACACCTTGCGGTAACGTTTGCTTGTTGGAGGTGCCACGTTTTTTTAGGGGGGGTCGCCAACTTGGTGTTTTTATTAAGCGATGTTGCATTTGTGCCGTTGTTTGGAGGCACGGGGCAACGCAAGAGGAGAGAAAAGAAAAAGATTTTATACGGAGAACAAAACAAAATGGCGGTGGAGACAGGCCCGGTGCATATTAACCGGCTGTGTAGCATTAACTGTTAGCTCCAGCGACGTAAAACGTGCTGTAAAAACAGGCGAAGTGGCGTTATCTGTTTTTAAAAAAAGTGTTTTTTAAAAAGTGTAACATGAACTGAATGAGCTAAAAGCTTCTCGGTGTCTTCCAACCGGCGCTAACGTTCATCCGCTAACATTAGCCACACGTTAGCGACCCCAAACGTTGTGACACATTCACACAACAAGCTCGCTTTGTCATTATAACTATAAAACTAATTTATATATACACACACACAAACATATACCGGAACTATTACACTCTTTTCATGTGGTAAAACCCCTGGTTTCCCAACTTAACCAAGCTGTGCTACCGAGCTAAACACTAGCTCGCTAGCCCAGCAACAACAACCAAGGCACTGTGCCTCTTTAACAAAATAAAAGACCACAAAAAACATCTTCTCGAGGGGGGGGGGGCAAACTAATCCCGTGTCCAGTGGCGATGGCGACAATTCCTGCTCAATACAACCTAAATAACTGGTGTTTTGCATTAAAACATGCAACATTTATTTCCCCGGCCACTGACCTGGTCTTGTCCCGACTTGTCTCGAGGTTGTATCGCAGAATGAGGTTAGCTTATGCTATCGCGGAGCTTTCTAGCCAAGTGACCCAGCGAGCTAAGCGACGTTATCCTCCTGCATAGTCAAACACATACGGTTCTTTTTGCGAGCAGCTTGGACAACGAGTACTGATAACTGTGTTGATTAGAAAGAAAGAAAGAAGGTATTCGTCTTACTTGTACTCCTTTTTCTTTTTTTTTTTATTTATTTCTTTTTTTCTCCCCCGGAAATATAAATTTAAAAAAAAAAAACGGGGAAAAGAAAATTGTAATGCTGGAGTCGATCCGTCACCTAAAGAGCCGTCAACGGCTACTGAGTTGTTTTGTGAGATGGAAGCCGTTTGGGACCTTTAGGGTTAGGAAAAAAAAACAAAAACAACAAAACGCGAGTGTTATTTTCTTCTTATCGGGTCAGACGTCCCTTGAAATAAAAGGTTATGGAGTAGTGTGTGTTCACTGGAAGTGGTCATTTGTCCGCTGTCGTTGGCATGTGCCAGTCAGAGGTGTCATAATTGGGGATTAACATAATGAGGAGTGGAGGTGGAAAGATGCTTTGCAAACTTTAACTTTATATTTGGGCAAGGAAAGAAAAAACGTAATCAGAGTAGAGCTTTTTGGTCAGGCACCAACCAAATAAAATCAATCCTTAAAGTTAATAATTTAACTAGTTTACTGCAAGGTGTAGTAAACTACATTTTGCATGATTTAGTGTAAATTAACAAAGCTATTACATTACAAACTCACTCATTACTTACAATTGCATGCGTTATGACTAAAATATATATATTTTTCCAATCCTGTCCTCGCCTGACCTTAGGCTGGTATTTTGGGTTCAGGCAGAGAATCAAAGCTCTGACTCAAAGGCTGCAGAGAAATGTATGTACAAAAGAAAGAGCATGGAGGGTACTTCAGGTCACACATATGATTTTCTTTATTTGTTGATGTGCAAGACAATTAATGTTGTTGTTTTTTGGAAGTTAACTGTAAAATGAAACCCTTCCCTTTTATCCAAAATTCATGGTTTCTTATATATGAACAATACTATTATCCAGTTTGTTTTGGAATAATCATCACATGAAGTTTAATTGTTTATTTTGTAAGTAGTCCCAAAACAATATTTCAAGTAAAACAAGTGGGTAAATAAAGTGGTCTTCTTCACAGGATAATCTCCAGTACACATTTATACAGAGTGATTTAAGTCAATGCAGATTTGTCAACTGTAAATCTCTTGATATTTCTTTATGAATCATGAACTGCGTTGGAAATCAGCTCAGTGCCTTAGAAATCACATGTTTATTCTGCAGATAGTACAGATCAGATAAAGTCCTGCAGGGAAACAATGTAACTCCGTGCTGGTAATATGGAGCATAAATGGACACTTTTCAAAATAAAACATCAAAATCGGAGTGGAGGTCAGATTGATTACAAAATACCAGAGTACAAAAGAGGATACTTTGGCTACATTATGTTTTTACCTCTTCACTCTCACATCCAATCACACACACACACACACACACCTCTTTTTTTTTTTCAAGTACATGTATTATTTTTCTAAAACCACTCAATTGGAAATAGCATTTAAGCGCCATCTCATAACAAAAAAGGTTATTAACATTATTTTACATAATTTCTGGGTCTACAAAGGCAGGACCAATTTCAATCAGCATGTATTCATGGCATACTCACATCTTAATAAAGGCAAAATTCATAATTACAAGCACAGAAACCATTTCAAAGTAGGCCTCTTCAGCATGAAATTCTGATAAGGAAACTAGTGTACTAAATAATCTTCAACATTTATCTCATATCTTCTTTTATGTAAGAACAGGGAAGTAATAAAATATTGGGGCTGTGCAAATTTTCTAACAAAAACACATTTATCCGGACACATCAGACTTATCCGGCATATATTTTTTGGATTGGTTCATCACAGGCTGAACACAAACTGTCGGACATTCGTGGTGCTGAGCCTCTCATATTTTCCATATTTCATAGCATAAAGTAAGTTTAAAAAGTCTTTTATGTTCATCCTGAGAAAGTTGTGGGAGTAATCAACATCTTCCTGTTTCCCTTTTTTCCTCCAACATTTGAATCTACAAGACAAACAAAATGTGAAATTAAAAACAGGAGTCACGCTCAGATATGTTTTTCAAACTAATAGCACACAAACCAGTTTTTTAATGCCTCATGCTTACCTCCCTCTCACATGCTCTACCGGCCACCGTATAGGTGGATCTTGACAAACGAAACGGTTTCGTCATAGTTCTTGTGGCCCTTTTCGTAGATGACAAAGATATACTTCTGGTCCTCTGGGGAGCCGCTGTCCAGAGATGTCATGCAGGAGTAGCCGCTTGGCCCCGCCCATATCTGCAAAGCTTTGTTCTCCCAAGACTTTCCATGAGTCACCGACCAACGTAAGGTCAGGTTAACTCCTGAGGGGGACGATACAAGACGTTAGTTTGCTCTTTCACTGATTGTTTCTTAACACGTTCCCTCAAAGCAGCAACAAGGAACTTTTATTTTGTGTTGAATTTCTCCTACGGGGGATCAATAGGGATCTTATCTTATCTTCATTCGGGTGGACAAACTACCATAGTGTTTCTACCACCTCGTTTAATTGATTTCAAGAGGAATCAGATCTAACTGATAGTCTTGTTTATTTATGTATCTCATATAGTAGCAGCAGTTTTAAATTCAGACTGTTTCATAACCAGTTAAAAACTCCTTGTAGTAGCGTTTTAAGGTCCAGTGTGTAACATTTAGGAGGATCTATTGGCAGAAATGGGATATACCTATGCATACACCTTAGAATGATACTTTTATATCTATAAATATAATAGAAAACTAAACACTGACATTAGACAGGGCCATTTGTGTTTTTCGCTGCCACCGTAGTTTATCCTTCACACTTTGAAGTAGATGGTAAAGCGAGGGAGTTTCAATCTGCAACTACACACAATCCTACACACTGGACCTTTAATTCTGAAGTAAATTAAACTGATAGATTGTTTTGATGTGAAGGAAAGCAAGTTACTAAGTGCATTTTCTGAGTACTGTTTTGAGGTATTTCCATTTTAAAGCTATTGTGTACTTCTGCTCCACTATATTTCCATTTTACTCCACTACATTTATTATACAGATATAGTTACTAGTTACTTTACAGTTACTTTTTAAGATGTCACATAAAAAAAACACAATCAAGTTACAAAATATGATGCATTGTTATATATGAAATTCTAATACAATTCACCTCAATCAGCTGAGACAATAAAATGCTATAATATATCAGTAATGATTTTCCAATAATTGTACCAAGAAATACTTTTACTTTCTTATGATAACTGAATATTTTGTACTTTTAATTGAGTAAAGTTTAGAAAGCAGGACTGTTATTTATATTTTAACAGAATAGTATTCCTACTGCTATTTTCACCACTGAGCATCAGTGACAAAAGTTAGAAAGGAAGAAGAGATCTTTAGTGTCAGCGGTTCTTACTGCTATGATCATTGGCCGGGTTGGTGAAGTAGAGGACGTCATCTTTCTGCAGAGCTCCCGCCGCCACTGCAGGATCCACCAGCTCGTAGTCAAAGTACAGATTTTCCAAGGGCAGGGACAATCCACCGTCATAGCTTCGTACCACCACGCGACACCGACAGTGGTATTGGTTCTGGTTCCGCACGTTGATGACGATGCTGCCGTCTGTCATCTCAAACGGCTGCAGAGGGGCAGGGAGGGGTTTAGTTTGGACAGTGTCTAATGCTTTGTGATTTAAAAAAAGGTGTATTTGATTAACTATGATGCTTTTTTTTATTATTGCACTGAAGGCATCACCCAACTATTTATATAAGAGCCAGATGAATTGGAAATATACATTTTACAGTTGCATTTCGTTTGGCCACTAGAGGGAAGAATAACTCCACAACAAGCTGACAGATTAACACCCTGATAAAGTTGTTAAGGTGAATATATCAGGTAATGATTGCCCATTCACACATCAATTAGACAAAATGCAACTTTAGTTTTCATTTAGAGTCACAATAAACTGACACATTTATGTGTAATATTAAATCTCCTATAAGCTTGTTTTTTTCTTTAACCACTAACTCCTGCTCCTCTCCTCTTCAGCAAGAAATTGGACTTTCTTCAACAACTACTCGCTAAGTTTATTTCTCTGCTGTTTGGTGACAGAGTTTTTGATATTTCTAAAATGCCTGGCAACTTCACTGGAAACCTGATGAGACCGCCAAGACTAAACCATGTAGTAAATTTGCAGGGCATGAAACCAAAACAGGCAAAAAANNCAAAATTGGATGATAATTCTCTCTGGGTTTCACAGTAAACGAAGACATTTGACTTATTGTTAATATAAAAACATATCTATAAGTGGAGCTTTAATTAAATGACTTGAACGGTCTGCATTTACAGTTGATGTCTCCAATAAGGACATAACACAACACCAGAAAGGGCACCAGAAATAAAATTAATTTTGCTTTTCAGACACTGATGTTTTTCCTCACAGTGCTACAGACTGCATTTTGATTTGCTCCTGTTGTAAGAAGTTGTAACCACCATTTATGTTAAGTTTCATCTTTGCAGAGGGGAAAGGAGTCCAATTTTACATCCTGCTATTGCAGGATACAGTGTGGGACTGTCAAAGAAGATGTGATCATCACAGGGAGATTAATAACACATTTCCACAAACGTACCTGGCACTCGTCAGGGTTGAAGTCTTGTGGTTTCTTCCGCTGGTTGTAAGGGATGCTTTTCAGTGCAGCACCGTTGTACCAGTTATGTCCATGGTCATCACTCAAGATGCAGAAAACTCCATCTCCCTCGATTGTACCATGACCACACACCACCAGCCTCCCCTTAGCTGGGTTGTAGCGCTTCTGTTGTACAAAGACACAAAAAGATGTAGACTAAGAAAGGGAAAATTTGATTATAAAAGAGAAACTACATCTAATTCTGAAAAAAGGGTGTATGTATAAGTGAAGATCTAAAAATAACAACACAGAAAACATAAAAAAAGATAATACATAATTCTTATAATTAGTTAAAAGCAATGTGCCAGCTACAAAGACATCAATATCTCATGAAACAAATCAGAACAATTATCTAGAGTGGCTCATCTGCTGCAATCCAACAGAGGGCTTAGTGTCCTAAAAACTGGCATCGATTTGAACTCAGATTCATGAGGGATAATCAACTAATTTGCAAAATTACAACTCCCCTCCAACTACATAATGATTCTGTTGCTGCACATATTTCTAACCCACTTCTGTGTAACATGTAATGCATTCAGTGTGTAACAATAAAGCCGCACGTCCAACTTATTCTACCAATATGATTTAATTTAACCACGCACACCAATAACAGTTGTTTACATTCTCATCATTATATTATATGAATGGTCAGAAAATATTAGGCTCTCCAAGTTCCACTATTATGACCCGTGTTAAAATACAGTAGCGTAGACTGACCCTATTCAGCTATGCAGGAGGCAGGTTTATTCCTACTAATTAGATTATTAATTGTTGATTGTTGTTGAATCCTGAACGGAAGCAGTTAAAAAAAACTAGAGCTAACTTGGTGGAAAATGGGCTGAAAATAAATAATTTATTGACTTTGAATGCCACCTTTAGGTATTTCTATTCAATCTTTTATCAATGTGCCATAATGTGAGGTTTTTGAGTTAAAATATATTAATTTCGGGCCTTTCCAAGCAAATATTGATATATGTGATTGTTTGCAATCAAATCACCATATTGAATATTTCTCTAGATCCACCAGCTGGATATTGAAACTAAATATTACAAGTAATGTAAAACTTATCTTAAATTGCATTTCACCTATCTCATAGTATTTTCATAGCATTTATGTTTTTAATTCATTTCATTTAAAAAAAATAATTCAGAGATTCCTCCACGTTTCACCAGTGGTACACGTACCATAGTTTGATCCACAGCCTAAACAGTTGAATACCAATAACTCACACCAAAGGAAGTACTTATCTTTTAGAATGGATTTTTATTGATAGTTAACAACTAACTATAGTAGTGCTGGGGAAACTGATGTATATTGAATCTCAAACACTTTTTTGCACCATGCACTATAATGTTTTTACATAAACTGTACATCAGTACCATTATATTTGGAATGGGTCATTACCAGACAATAATACAGACTCTACAATATCAGTCCAACTCCAAATAATAGACAAGGACAAATAAAAATAACATAAAAAGTCCATAAAGGTGTTTTCATATTAGGTTTCTAACTAAACTATGGTGGCATTTGTCAACCCTCTACTTAGTATATCAGTGTCCATCACCTCCCTGTGGGTTAGTCTCAACTTGTGACTGCTGTTCCTCTATCCAGGGAATACACACTGTCTGAGGTTGGCATATTTTGCAAGTTTGTGTTGTTAGATGAAATGTGCCAACAGTGCAATTATTAGATTATTTTGTGTCCTAGCCTAAAAAAAACACCATAAATGCATCATAGTTTGTAGCAGTTTCTGACTGATGATTAAGTTACTTAAGACTTTACATTTCAATCAATTAAGATTGATTTTCCAACAAGCAGTTCATGAGGTGTTAACATTATTTCCACTATATTTTACACTTTCACACTTCCTCTTTTCATGAAGTATGAAAAAAAAAAGCAGTTTAAAAATGCATTTGTTCATAAATCATATTAAACGCTTTCTTGTGACAAAGGTGTATGAACTCAGATTTTTACCACACTGTAACAGAGTGAGTAAAATCTTTAACACCTGTAATCACCACTAGTATGTGACCCAAATGAGTAACCTGTCAGCAGCTTATAGTCACAGTAAAACCAACGTTACCTGAACGCAGCACAAAGGTCATTTAGCTTCATTTTTATCTCACTTTAATACTAGAAAACATTCTGCGTCATCCTCTCACCTGGATGCCGAAGCCAGGCCCGGGAGCAAAGTTTTTGACTCCGAGCTGGACCGAGAGGTTTCTGGGCTTGCTCCAGCTCAGGCCGTCGTCCATGCTCTCCACCGACATGGTGCTGGCCGGCTTGCAGCGGTAGAGGTGGAAGCAGATGCTGTAGATCAGAATCACCGAGCCCACCTCCTCGTCCACCACCACCGAGCCCAGGTTCAGGCCGTCCGGCTGCGTACCATCGTCGACGATAAAGGTGGTCGGGGACCAGGTGGCTCCTGGAGGGATGGAGGAGGAGCAGAAGAGGATTCAGACACTATTTTTATTCTATTATTTCAAGGTTTTTTTTTGGGGGGGGGGGGGTTCCC